AGCATACGAAAGATACATGTTGGAAGCTCCACCCTCATTTAGTCCCAACAAAATTAAGAAATAAAAGGGGTAATGCTCATATGGCTGTGAATACTGATTATGCATCCTCGTCAGGCACAAAAGACACGCCCCTAGATACGTTAGTTGTTGTTCGGGCTGCCCTAATACAGTTGGAAAAGGAGGTTGGGAATTCCGCTCAGTCATCTTAGTCACCATCAGCCTCTGTCACATCTGCATTTGCTCATTCAGGTACCCGGGCCTCAGCTTACAATGTTTCAACTCTAGGTAATACTAAACACTGTTGGGTAATAGACTCAGGAGCATCTGACCATATGACTAGCTTGCCATCATTGTTTACTACTTATCACTTGTCTTCTGGTAGAGATAAAGTATCCATTGTTGATGGTTCTCTTGTTCCCATTTCTGGCAAGGGTGACATCAAGTTATCTGATACTATCTCTTTATCCTCAGTCTTGCATTTTCCTAAACTTGATACTAATTTGCTTTCAATCAGTAGTATTACCAAACATCGAAACTGTTCAGTAACCTTTTTCCCTGACCGATGTGTTTTTCAGGACTTGGAGACGAGGAAGGTGATTGGGACTGGTCGTGAGACGAATGGAATCTACCTGCTTGGAGAGAGTTCTCATTGAAAAGAGCCAGTGGATAAGAAGTCTTTTGTTTCTCAGTGTGTGACTTCGGTTATGCTTTGGCATAATCAATTAGGTCATTTATCTTTTCGGTCTTTGAAGAGTTTGTTTCCTACTTTATTTGAGTCTGTTGAGATGTCAAATTTGAGATGTGAGAGTTGTGAGCTTGCCAAACATTGTAGAACATCTTATTCCTTGAGTAATAAAATAAGTAATAATTCTTTTGATATTGTGCATACCGATGTTTGGGGACCATATCACATCCCTTCTATAGGTGAGTACAAATATTTTTTGTTGTTTGTTGATGACCATACCCGTTTTTCTTTGGTCTACCTTATGCGTTCTCGAGATAAGGTTCCCGCTCTGACCCAAAACTTTCATCAGATGATTTTAACCCAATTCGGGGTCAAAATCAAAGTCATCAGATCTGATAATGCAAAAAAATACTTTACTAAGCCACTGGTCTCTTATCTACTTGATCATGGGGTTATTCACCAGAGCACTTGTCCTCATACACCACAGCAGAATGGGGTTGTCGAGAGGAAGAATAGGCACATTTTGGAGGTGGCTAGAAGCTTTATGTTTACCTCCAATGTGCATATCTGTTTCTGGTGTGATGTTATCCTCACGGCAATGTATCTCATTAATCGGTTTCCCTCACGAGTTCTTGATATGAAGCCTCTGTTTATCTTTCTATACCCAGACAAGGAGTTGTTTATTGTTCCTCTTAAAACCTTTGGTTGTACCTGTTTTGTTCAGATTCTTGGACCTCATCATTCCAAATTTGACCCTAAGGCCTCCAAATGCATTTTTCTCGGTTATGCACAAATTCAAAAGGGTTATTGCTGCTATGATCCTGTTTCAGGGAGGAGATTTGTCTCGATGGATGTCATCTTCTTTGATGAGGCACCCTATTATCCTAGGGTTTCTCCTCAGGGGGAGAGTAGTAAGAATGAGAATTTGGGTCTTTTAACTCGGGGGAGTGTAGTGAGAGTGGGGTTAACTCATCTGAGGTTGTTCATTTACCCATTCCATTGAGTGATGAAGGTTGTAATGGTGAGGGTTGTCAGAGGGATCAGGAGTTGAAAGTCTATCACAGGCGATGCAGGCAGGTTGATCTCGGTCATCAGCAGTCCAAGCCAGCTCCAGTTCCTTCTGTGGATCCAAATCCAGGTACTACAGTCCCAGGGCCCACTGAGATACCTTCCACTGTTGCTACTTTCCCTCCTTTTTCGGATGACCTTGACCTCCCTATTGCGGTCCGTAAAGGGAAATGGCGCTGCACCACATCCACAGCTCACTGCATTTCCCAGTTTCTATCCTATGATCGCATGTCTCCCTCTTACAGGTCCTATCTCACTTCCATTGCTGATATCCCTATCCCCAAAACAGTGCAAGAAGCCTTGTCAGTTCCAGAGTGGAAAGATGCAATGAAAGTTAAAATGGATGCCCTTTTGAAAAATAATACTTGGAAGCTAGTTGGCCTGCCCAAAGGAAAGAAACCAGTTGGATGTAGATGGGTATTTACTGTGAAACATAATGATGATGGCTCCATTGAAAGGTACAAAGTCTGGTTGTTTGCAAAAGGGTTCACTCAGACTTATGGTATAGACTACTTGGAGACCTTTGCCCCAGTAGTAAAGATGACCACTATTCGAGTTCTATTAGCCCTTGCAGCAAGTTATTCTTGGCCCTTGTTCCAGATGGACGTTAAAAATGCTTTTCTGAATGGAGACTTACAGGAAGAGGTCTACATGCAGTTRCCCCCTGGATTCTATGATACAAAGACAAGTAAGAAGGTTTGCCGACTGAATAAGGCATTGTATGGATTAAAACAATCCCCTAGAGCTTGGTTTGATAAATCCAAACTAGCCCTTAGAAAATTCGGTTATGTACAGGTCCAGTCAAATCATACACTGTTCATTAAAGGGTGGACTCTTCTTTGACACTGCTTGCTGTATATATGGATGATATTGTAGTGACAGGAAATAATAGTAGTGAGATTGAGTCCCTCAAATAGCTCCTTCATCAAGAGTTTGAGGTGAAAGATCTTGGTGCACTGCAATATTTTTTGGGTATTGAAGTTACTAGATCTAAACAGGGGATCTTTATCTCTCAGGGGAAATATGTTCTAGATCTGTTGGCGGAAACTAGAAAGTTAGGTGTCAAGCCTGTCGATACACCCATTGAACAGAATTACAAGATCAGTGCAAAGGGTAGGGAGCCTCTTGAAGACAAAGTATGTTCCAACGGTTGGTTGGAAAGCTCCTATATCTCTGCCTCACTCGGCCAGATATCAATTATGCAGTCAGTGTTGTCAACCAATACATGCATTCCCCTAGAACTACTCATCTTCTTGCAGCAGAGAGAATATTAGCATACTTRAAGAGATGCCCAGGTAGAGGTATACTATTCAAGAACAATAATCACATGAAGGAGGAGGCCTATACAGATGTTGATTGAGCTGGGAGTGTTGATGACAGAAGGTCTACCTCTGGATATTGTGCCCTTGTAGGAGGTAACCTTATCTCTTGGAGGAATAAGAAACAAAGTGTTGTTTCCCGCTTTAGTGTCGAAGTTGAATACAGGTCAATGGCTAACGGAGTGGCTGAAATCCTATGGCTGAAGTCACTACTTGAAGAGTTGGGTATTGATTATGAGAAGCCCTTGATGTTGTATTATGATAATCAGGCGGCTATTAATATAGCTCACAATCCGGTGCAGCATGACAGAACTAAGCATATCGAAGTTGATCGACATTTTGTCAAAAAAAGGGTTTCATCACAAGAAGTGTCTCCCATATATCACCTCCAACATGCAGTTCACAGATCTTCTCACCAAGGTTGTACCAAGGAAGAAGTTAGAGGCAAACCTATTCAAGTTGGGAATGACAAATATCTATTCCCAACTTGAGGGGGAGTGTAGAGAACACTAATGTGGGCCCCACGGGTATGGTCCCCACTATGTTCGTATGACAGCATGTGTAACCTCTATTAGTTACGTCAGTGTTAGTTGGTAGTTATCTTAGACAGCTTGTTATTCCAGTTTGTTACTTGTTTCAGTCTATTATTTGTTTTATTTGCCATGTAAGCATTAAGGGCAGTTCTGTCATTTCCTACATTTAGTGAACATAACCTATAAATATTAAGAGAGTGGCGGTGGCAGACTCATTCAATCTATCCCTCCTTTCAAAACCTTTGTGTACTGCTTCTTCTCCTTTCTTTTTCCTCTTCCTATTTTTCTCAATCCAAAATCTGTTGGGATTCAAGACTGAATGTAGTCTTGATTGACTATTGTTTCTAATATCTTTAGTTTCTAATTTTTGTTATTAGAAGTTTCTAATTTCTATTAAGTTGGCCTGGCTAGCCTTATTGTTTCTATTTTTTGTTTATTTTCTATTCTTGTAAGGATCCTAAAAGCTATAAATAAAGTAGTGTATGGGGCAGCAGATTATTCACCACTGAACCCCTTCTTTATTTTCTCCTCTCTCTCTCTCTCTCTCTCTCTCTCTCTCTCTCTCTCTCTCTTTTCTTCTCTTCAAACCTGTAATACAGTAAACAGTTCTTCTTCTTCTTTCAAGTGTGGATTTTGACCATATATTTTTTGGACAAGGTTTTGACTTGAATTGTGCTTTATTTAATGTTATTAACTAAGGAACTAGACAAGTTTTTTGAAAAACAGTATCAATAGAAAAAGTTTCCTTAGAAACAGTGTTATGCAGGAACAGTGATAGATTGGAAGGAATATATCATCTTATCTTCCGAAGTATCTGCTAACCAAATTAATAGATTTTKCTGATATTTAAGTACAAAAAGTAAACAAATCTTTGAATGACCATCTTAAACAAGAAAATAACCTAAACTTTATAGTTCAAATCAGAAAAGCCATAAGATAGCAGAGGACAATTGTAAATGCCAGCATTAATCACTACAAATCTTTTCTCCCAATCATATAGGGATCTTTCAGCTTTAAATTTCCCAAAGTAAGCAAAATTTCCATTCCTTATACTTCTAAAACATTGATGAATATGAGCAAGGCTACTACATTTATGGTAGAAAAAAATAGATTAAATATACCTTTGAGATGCAGTAACTTTTACTCTCCTTGTCTCAATGATCCAAAACCTTCAAGTGGCCATATCTGGAGATGCCAATTCAAAGGAAACGAGAGAGGGACGACTGAGAGAGAGACAAAGAGAGAGAGAGAGAGGGACGAATGAGAGAGTAAGAGAGAGAGAGTGAGCGAACGAGCAAGCGAGAAGAGAGAGACGACTAAGCGAGAGAGGGACAATTGAGAGAGAGAGAGGGAGAGCGAGAGGAGAGAGACGATTGAGCGAGAGAGGGACGACTGAGAGAGAGGGAGAGCGAGAGGAGAGAATGACTGAGCGAGAGAGGGACAACTATGAGAGAGAGAGAGAGAGGGCAGTAAGTTAGCTCGCTATTTTTAGCGACAGTCATTTGGTCTCTAGCGGCAGTTGATTAAAACTGCAAAACTGCCGCTAAAGATCAGCATTTCTAGCGGAACCTGCCAAATAGCCAGGCCGAAAACTGCCGCTAGAAATGTAATTTCTTGTAGCGTCTCTCATGGGAAAAGAAATGGTTGGATTTTATCACAGCTATTGATGGATGCAAATTAATTGAGCTGCAAAGTGCAAGTGTCCACACATTATGGTTTTGAGCAAAGTTTTGTTTAACAGAGATGTCAATAGCTATCATTGTCGAGTTTAAAACAAAACAAACAAAGAATTATAGAGCTGATCAGGCTACAAAATTAACAGCTCAAGATGCATTTTTGCCGTACCAATACCAGAAAACATGTGCTCCTGTATCATTTATTAATGATATGAAGCTCTAAAGTGATTAATGTCCTAATAATCAATCTAGAACCAAGTTATGGTATTTGGCTGCTATTTCAGTCTAATGGGATACTTAATTAATCAGTTGGCACAGGGTTATGGGCATGGAAAATATTCAAGCTACCCAACTTCAAACAATATGTTTTACCATTTGAAAATGAACTTTGCATTGACTACTCTATCAGCCAATTAAACCACAAAGTTACAAGAAATAACCAACACTCACATCTAATAAACCATTTGATTCAATCCAAACCTGCACAGTTCAGATAAGCTAGTAGAATCTCCCCCATGATCTATGTCTGGACCCTTGAATTTTGAACTGGTTACTAGTTAACCAATCCATGAGCTCCATGACCCATCACTCCATCAACATTCTGGTCTCGTTTTCTGTGCAGTCCAAGTCTGAGAACACTGTTTTGACTAGAAGCTTTACCTTCTTTTTTCTTTTCTTTGTTAACCCAAAAGTACCATTTTTGGAGTGAAATCCTCCTTTGCTTTATGGGAAAAAGAAAAAGCTCCTCCTACTAATAAATCGGCTTAGTTGGCTTTCCAGGAAGGTAAGATCAAGAGGTAGCTGGTTTTTTTGACATCTACCAGGAAGGATTTCCATTGTTTCAGATATGCACATGGTTTGAACATTTTCTCCATGTAAGGTTAAAATTGTTGCCAAGGGTAGCATATAGAGTTCTAATCCAGTTCTTCTACTATGGATATTATTCTGGTTATTTTTTTATCAGACGCATAATTCTAGTTCCTTATTAGTAATACAACATTGTAGACATAACCGCATATGATATAAGAGGTATCCATAGAGCTAAAGTCACAATAGATATATAATATGGATTAACAAGTTACTACAGAAGTATATAAAGAACATATAAATATAAATATATATCATATATATCATTCAGATTGTTGATGTCATTGTTGTCATCAATTCATCATAGAGGAGGTAATGCACACCTCACCTGGTTGGTATACATTTACAATTAATTGATCAAAGAAAGGCTCTCTCCACAATAATTCTGATGGAAAAGGGCAAACTATTTCCTTATCCTGATCACAAATTGATGAATCTCCACACTTAGAAATATCACAAAACCAAATTGCTTTATGAATAGATTCAGAAAGCTCAACTGCCCATGCAGGAATATCTCCAAACCTCATAGCGTACAGGTAAAGCAGATTAAGCACAGTTAATTTTCAAATTAAAAAAAAAAAAAAGCTAAAAGAACTAATCTGTTAAGCATATCAAGCAGTAATGACACCCTGCTCTACAACACAGAATGCAGAACTCACATAGCCAACAACATATCCCAAGAGGAATATGTAATTCAGATTTATTTTGTTCCGTTCTTATTAAATTAGTTGCAACTATTTTATTTCTAAATGTGATGATTTACATATAATTTGATCAAGTTAGGGTGCTTCTTCTAGAAGATCAAGTTATTAGAGACAATTCTCCTTTGGTGGAATATTTATCTTACTTTTTTATTTCTTTTGCATTAGCAGTATAAATGAGTTTCTTTGATTCTTATACTTGTTAGTTCTTTCTTTAACTGTGCTTCTACTTAACAATTCAGAACTTTTATTGCATAATGTTAAGGAGAACATGCTTAGAGTGAGCCAGCAAGTCACAAGATATATACATTGATGACTTATTTGACAGTCCTAATACAAATTTACAATTGTCTACCTCTTAAGTCAGGATCCCAATAATCATGTCCACTAGCTCATTTCCTCACAAGTGAGTCAACTAAGGAGCTTGCACACCTAGGGATCCATTCAAACAAGATGTTCAGTCCAGATGCTGAGGATCTTGTTTCCCTCGTGTGATGCTTATGGATCAAATGGACTGTCCCTAAATCAACCAATTACAACTCTTCAATCCCCTTAAAAATCAAGCTCTAAGTAACCTAATGAGATAACCGGGTTCAGACCCTTTATAACAGAGGACAATTCAGCATGAGTTGAGTTACCATTTCCAATTAGATCAATTTGAATCTCAGCCTGGATTGGATTGGACTGGTCCAATCCACTATCTATTGAACTGGTCCAATCCATTATCTTATTGGACTGTTCAACCTGGACTGGACCAATTGTTGAACCTGGACTAGATTGGACTGATCCAATCCATTGTCTTATCGGACTGTTCAATAGGCTGGTACAATCCACTGTCTTATTAGATTGTTCAACTGGACTGGATTGGACTGATCCAATCCAATCTACTGTCTTATTGGACTATTCAACATGTTCAACCTGGACCGGATTGGACTGGTCCAATCCACTGTCTTATTGGACTGTTCACCCTAGACTGGATTGGACTGACACAATCCACTGTCCACTGGTACTAGCTAATCTTGGTATCCACCTGAGCAAGTTCAACCTGGTAGCCAAAATACTTTTCTTCCTCCAAGAGGTGTATAATGACTCATGGATCTTCTGATTGAGAACCTATCCAGCTAGTGATAATATGAGAACCCCTTCAAAAAAAAAAAGAAAGAAAAGAAAAACTGTTCAAACCCATAACTTCCTGAATCAATAATGTAAAAAACAACAGGATGAATTGATAAAAAGGATTCAACTTGTTTCCTTCTTAAAAATGAAGTTTGAATTGATACAGCTTATAGAAGCTATGTTTTTTAGTGACAAAATAATGCATTACCTAGGTTGATCAGCAGAATGTCCATTCAAATCTGACAAGCATGGCTGAGTTAACCGGATTCCTATTATTAGTGACAAAATACTCTATTTGGTTGAATTCATGATTACCTAATTTCCAAAATTGACAACCTGAACTAGACCCTATTCTTATCTGTCCAGGATGTAGACAAGGTTCCTGTAAATGAGAGAAGGGTGTGGGTTTGATGGTCAGGTTAGTAACTGCTACTTTTTCTTGTCAATCAAATGCCTGAAAAACTTGAACAATCCTGTTTTTTACTTTTTTGGGTAAGCAATATCTTCATTATAAAATAGGACAAATGCAACTAAACAAAAGCAACACAACAACAGAAAACTGTTCTTGAACTTGTGATCTCAGAGGTGTTTTGGTCTTGCAAACACTACTGTGATCTCAAAGGATTCTGCTCTCCAATACCAAAAGTTGCACCATCTTTACATTGATTGGATTGCTAGAGAGAGGAGATTGGTTTCTTGGGTGTGAACGTCAAAACTGTTCTTGAACTTGTGAGGACTCTTCTATCAGGTAAAGTCCCAACCCTTCTCTAGTTTTTGAATCTAATATGACCTGGTTCAAATCCCAAAACTAATCTTGAGAAAATTAAGAAAGTTTTCTCCTATGCGATTTTGCTATTCTCTTGTTATATTGTTGGGTTCTTGAACCCTAGTTTGGAAAATTTGTGAATAGAAAAATCCAACTTTGTGCTTGTCACAACTTTCATGTTAGGGAGATTTGGTATGGAACATTGGGAGAAGCTCTCCAAGCAATTATCTAATGCTAGATTTGAGGACAAGGCTACTTTGAAGGTAGGAGGGATGTTATGTATCAAAATTCCAGGAGCTAGCACAAGAGACATAAAGGCCAACCTGACCGTTGATGTCGCCACATATGATCCTTTGTAGCTGTCGTTATGTTATGACGGCTATACTCAATCACATATAATCATGAACAATCATTATGTGTATGCTTGGAGGCCATACACCTAATAGCATGAACACCTACCTCCGATCTAAGAGCTCCAAACAGGAGGCCATAGATGTGCATCCAAAACTCACAGAATCAAAGAGAAACCTAAGACACATTAGTGTTCTAATGGGCTGATTGGAGGAGGGTCAGCTGGTTTACAAAGTTCCAAGGGTTGTTCTTCAGAACTTTGTGCATATCTTTCTTGTGGTTGAAATGAACTAACAATTATCGCCAATCGATGTCTTTTGAAGGATTCCAAATCTGAGACAAGGACCTGGCTAAGGCTATATGATTAATCTTCTGTTTTGTTAGAATCTGGCAAATCAAGGCAGTTTGCTAGAAAGGGTCTTCTTCCGTTTGTATTTCAGTTGGAGGACTAATATTTGGGGGAAAACCTTCTGCCATAGAAAGGGGGAGATGGAAAACCAACTAGAGAAAGGGAATAAAGGGAAGGATTAGGAGACAAGGAAAAAATTCCTAAATAGGAGAGGTAGTAAACACCACACCAGGGTTAGGAAAAGACCCACATCTCCAAGTGCAACAGAAAATAGGGTCATCTAGATCTAGGAAAAGGAAGGTGGGAGTGGTGTGCCACAGCCGATCCCGAAGATCATTCTGAAATCTGCATGACCTCCTCCCTGATGTAGAGTTTTAGAGAAGATCACTCTGCCTTAGCTCAAGAAACTCATGAAGAATAATGGAGCTTCAAAGAAGTTAAGTTTGATTTGAAGATTAGAAAGGGAAAGGGAAAAGAAGAAAGGAGAGAGGGAGAGGATTTGAGAGAAGGAATTTGTATTACAATTTGCATGCCCAGTACAAAGAGATTTTCAGCTTTTATACAATTTGGTTCAAGCTTAACAAACTGCTGACATCACCTAACAAACTTCTAACATCATCTCCTTTATCTAATTAACTGCTAACAGAAAATAAAATGGACTGTAACACTCCCCCACCACCAGAACCACCTAACCCCACTCCGGTGCCAGTTCCAGTTCTGGACCCACCACCATTGAAAGCCGGGTATGTTATGCCCCCAAAAAAATATAAATATTAACAAAGCGGAAATTTGTAGTTTTCTCAACTTGGTAACTGTGTCATTTAATTAATGAAGCATGAAAATTTCGTTGAGAAGTTTGAAGCTGATCTAATCCTGAAGATAACTTATGGTGGATGTGTACAGTACAGCAGACCTAATCACCAATAATCTCCACAAGAACAAAATCCATCTTTGAAGTGATGAAATCGATTTGCATCCCTAACAATTATCTCTCTCTCAACAAGCTTGGATATTAACTTGGTTGCTGAATGACAGTTAACACACGCACGAAGGTTCTTTGTTATCCTAAGAGTTGTACCAGGAGCTGTGCTAATGAGCCCATAAGCAATTGCAAGCCTCTCACTATGGTTACAAAGTGTCTCCTCCTTTTCTTCATAGTTTAAATCATGCAAGACAGAGTCCATTACAGGAACAAAACCAGCCTCCTTCAACCTCCTCTCCAATTTCTCAAGTTCCAAGAAGATCTCCTTGGACCTCGGATGTGACTTGTCTCCCACACGAAATGCTTGAAGCTTACCATTGACCTCAATCATACTATATCCTAAATCCTTACTCAACCCCTTTTCCCTAATCAGTACCCTGACCTTTGCTACATGATCCCACATCCTGGCTGAAGCATAAAGATTTGACAGCTGCACGTAGTGCCCTGCATTTAGTGGGTCAATTGAGAAAACACGCTCCGCAGCATATTCTCCCAATGGCACATGACGGTGGACCTTGCATGCACTCAACAGTGCTCCCCACACAGTTATACCTGGTTCAATTGGCATGTTCATGATAAAATCATATGCTTCATCCAAATACCCAGCACGACCAAGAAGATCAACCACACAAGCATAGTGTTGGTGCCGAGGCTCAATCTTATGGTCTCGCTTCATGCAATGGAAAAGCTCCCACCCCTCTTGTACAAGTCCTGAATGGTTGCAGGCTGAGAGGAGTCCAATAAAGGTGACATCATTTGGTTCTATCCCTGCATGTTTCATCTCATGGAAAAGTTGAATAGCATCTCGACCTCGACCATGTAAACCATACCCTACAATCATGGCACTCCAAACCACAACATCTTTATCTACTGTCCGATCAAATACCCTCCTTGCAAAATCTATACTACCACATTTTGCATACATGTCAATAAGTGCAGTGTTGACAAAAACATCAGTTCTATACTCTGTCTGCTCAACATAATCATCCATCCATCTTGCTAATTCCATAGACCCCACTTGTGCACAGGCTAAGATTGCAGAGCGTATGGTAATGGAATCTGATCTAATGTTCTTGGATAGCATTCCACGGAGGAGCTCCACAGCTTCTTCTGCATAACCATTCTTTGCAAATCCAGATATCATTGCATTCCATAGAATTGTATTTGGCATTTCCATCTGATCAAACAATGCTTTAGCAGTCATTACTTCCCCACACTTTGCATACATGGCTGTAAATGCAATTAGCAAGTCAGCTTCCAATTCAAGCCCCATTTTGATGACAAAACCATGGACAGACTTCCCCTGCTTCAAGTCCTCAACATCAGTGTAAGCTTTAAGGACACTCACAAGAGCAATCCAGTCTGGTACCACATTCAATTGTCTCATCTCTCTGAATATCCTCAAAGCCTCTAAAGGTTGGCTATTCTGGGCATACCCTGAAATAATCGAAGTCCATGAAACAATCGTTCTATCAGACAGCCTATCAAACACAGCCCTGGCCCTGCTGATTTCCCCGCATTTGGCATAAAGCGCCACCAAACCATTCTGCACAAACACATCTGACTCAAACCCATGCCTGAATATCTGAGCATGAATCCTAAAACCCATTCTGAGGTCTGAGAGGCTGCTACAAGCTTTGAGCACATAAGGAAAAGTGAACCTATCAGGGTTCATTCGTTCCACCTGCATTCTCGAATACATTTCAAGAGCATCACTGAACAAATTGTTCTGGGAGTACCCCCTGACTATTGCATTCCACAGAAAAACATTTGGTTCAGGAATTTCTTCAAACAAGGAACGAGCGTAGTGAATTTCCCCAGCATTAGAGCTTGCATGAACAAATTTGGTTGCCAAGTAGTTGCTGTTTTGAAAACCCGCCACAATGAGCTGAGCATGAATCTGAACCAGATGCTTCTTGTGGGTCAAATTATCCAAGAGAAAAGCATAGAATGAGTCAGAAGAAATGCTGGAAAGGTTGTTATTTTCGTCAGGGTAATCTAGAGGCATCATTAATGAACAATATTCCTTAAGAAATTTAAAGGTTGACGCCACAAGCTCAAATGGCACAACTGTTGCAAGTGCCAACGCTTGTAGTTTCGCGGGAGACATGGAGAGGAGACAACAACGGGAGGTTCTTTGACCGAAAGCCATGTTAGAGTCACATGATTCTGTGATTACACTCCTCTCAGCTTATTTGACCTGTATGACTGTACAAATTAGTCCGAATTGATCACAAGGTTACTTTTGTATATAAATCTAGCCTTTTTACCAGAGATGCTCATGATTTGGCTCAAAAAACAAAAGATATAAAAGATATTTTTATTGGTGGAACGGAAAAAGCAAACAACTGACCGGAACAGCCACTTAACAATCAGACAGTCTTTCTGTTTAATTAATTTAATTTCAATTTTCTAAAAAAAAAAAGAAACAAAAAAAACTGGCACTACCTATGACAAAGCAACAAACACAACCGCACGAACCAAACAACAAACTAAAGTACAAGACAGATGAGCTGCCTAATTGCCCAAGGAAGCCAACTGAGGGGTGGTATATTACCTATTCAACAATTGATTGCAGTTCACAAAAGAGAGATGGCCGTTGGAGAGAGAAAACTGCCGGAAAGAAAAACGCTAGAGAGAAAGCTGACGGAGAGAGATAGATGCCGGGGGAAAATAAAATCGTTGAGGTTTTTATCACTTTTATAAACAATGATGAATCATACGGAAGTAGAGAGAGTTCGCCGGTGAGAAATGTTGTGAAATGCTCAAAGATAACCGCTCTGTACACGCAGCTCAACCAAACGGACAGAGATAATCGCCGACTTGCCGGTGAGAGAACCGTCGGAGAGAGTTCACTCAGAGAGAAACCCTAAGTTGGAGTACGAAGTAACTTCAATCGATCCTCAGTCCTCAGATGGTTTGGACGGGGTCCAACCCGAATCCAGTCCATTGACACCCCTCCACAGCTGCTTCTGCTGCTACTGCATTTCCTGACCCTAATAAGAGGAGAGACGATAGCAACAGCCTGGTGTTGTTTCGGCTGAAGAAAGACAAACAACATACCGAGAACGAGAAGAGTCGCGATGGTGGGTGAGGGTGTCCAGTGTCCTAGCAAAGTGCAAAGCCAAGATAACACAGGCCGTCTTCTGCGTTCTGTATAAATCACTTGGATTTGACCAAACATGTGTGACGGCCGGGTTGTATTTTCCTACTAAACCAATCAAACATGTCTGACGGCCTGGTGTTGTTTAGATTTCACGAAACATGGATAACACAGGCCGTCTTAGACCGAGTGCCTAGTATCCAAACTTTAAAACGCCATAATCTAGCACCCAAACTTTCCAAATGCTATAATATATCATCTAAAACACAAATGTTCTTTAAATGTCATTTAATTTTGTTTATCAACCTCTGCAACAACTATAAAAAGGTACAGCCGTAAAACCATCAACCAAGATACCGGTGGCCAGGCTGAAATGGCACCCACCAACCGCCGGCATCTCCCTATAAAAAATAAATCTTACAGTTTTTCTTAAAAAGGAAAAGCTTAGGGATTTAAAAAAATAAAAAATAATACTTGCGGTTACAAAATGACCAAAGAAGAAGAAGTTTTTTGATGACAGAGAAGAAACTGAAGCTTTCCATGTTTTATAATTTAAATCAACTGTGTTTAATCTGTAACTTTGTATACGTTAGTTCTTCGTCGTAACAAAGATGAAACAAGAAGAGGAGCAGCACCATCACTACTACAACAGACGAACCCCAACCTCCCATAACCGTCGTCCCGGAAACGACCGGAAACCAACGACGAAGACGACCGTTCAATGTCTTGCAACAAATGCTGGCTCACCACCTCCCGTGAGAAAATCTCAGTCGTTCCTATCGACATCAACGGCTCCAACAAGCATCCGAACGCAAGCCCCGGTGGCCTCTTCAGATCTATCTTCTTGTCCTTAACGAGAAAGAGCCCCAGGTTATCAGAGTCGCTGTCTTCAACCGCCAAATAAGAGCAATGGAAGCTCGTCGTCGCGGACCTGTCGCAGAAGCTCATTCAAGCCACTCAGAAGGGAGACAAACTCTCCAAGAAGCACTTTGTTCTACCTAGAAGCACTCTTGAACCCAGCATTCTACGAAGACTTCGAATCCATCGGATTTAAAAAAGTGGGTCCGAGCGAATCCTCAACCCAATACAAAAATGCGAAGCGAACTACGCTTCCTTCACTCTTCTCGGGGGACTCACTTGAGACGAGGTGTTGAACAAAGGAACCAGACACTTCAGCGAGAAATTCAGCCGGTTTTGCGATCGAAAGATGAGCGAGATCGTGGCAATGTCGGAGTGGAACCGGGCGTGACCGGAGCCACTGCTGCAAGCATTCTTCGGTGCGACGAAGAACATCTGGCTGGTTCATCTGTTGTCTTGTTCGGTGCACCCAAACTTTTCTGTATTCAGGGTGGATAAGGGGATGAGGTTCTTACTTACAGTTGCAGCCGAGATGTGCAAGTATGGCATTCGAGTTAATTACATCTCGCCGTTTGCCATTCCGACCCCGTTTGTGATGGAAGAAATGGTGAAGACGTTTCTTCGCGTTGATGGAGGCCATAATTTGGTAGTCGATTTTCATTTTCTTGATAAAGAAGACGATGAAAGTGTGGTGTATTTTCAAGGGCAATTTTGATATTTTAAAAAATATTAAATCGCATATGTAATCACGTGATATACATAACACATTTCGAAAATTAGGATAGTTCGGGTACTAAATTGGCACTCAGTAACTACAGGCACCTAATTTTCCCTTTATACAATTACTGGATTTGCATGGGGTAAGGAAATAAAATAATAATAAGGACGAAGACTTTGATCCTAACCCGATTTTAGGAGGCTTCTTTTTTATCCATAAGCTATGACGAATTTGCTTTATCTCCATCTCGGCAACTTTTGGGCCCTAATATCAATAAGGATATTCTTTAAGGTGCGATGCATGGGAAATCTAAAAGATTTAATAATTTTATTTATTATTAATTAATATTAAATTAATAATCAAAATTTGTTGTTAATTAATTAAAAGTATTCAAAATTATTGTTAATATTTAAAATTTTAATAATTGCATTTTTCATTTAATGTTGATTTATAAAAAAATAATTATTGTTAATTTAATATGAATAAATATTTTTTAATAAAATTAATTTTATTAATAATTTGTAGTAATTTTAATAATTGTTATTATTTTATTATTTTTAAATGAAATTTTGATTAACTTTAAGTAAATAAAAATAATTACAAAACCTAACATTTTTATTGATTTCACTAATAATTAAAAATTATATAGGAATGACAATGGGGTGGGTTTAGGGCAGGGCACCTCACCCTTGTCCCTACCCCATAGTCAAGACACTCTACTCCATCCCTACCCCGTCCCTAATGTCAGGCAGGTTTAGGGCAAGGCAACCACTCCCCAATGTTAGGCGAGTATAGAGGCAAGGCATCCCACTCCTCATCAAGGATGGGGAATCCTCGAATTTCCTCACCTCGTCCCTAGTATTGGGCAGGTACAAGTAGAGGTGTAAATCAGGTCATGCTAGGCCGACAAGCACGACCTACATGTGGCCCACATAAAGCATAGGTCGTGTTGTGCTGGCCCACGGGGCATCCTGAGCCGTCCCTCCCTCCCCTGGGATAATTTGGGGGTCAGTTCGGCATGGCCCACAACCTGAGCCCACACGGGTACGTGTCGTGCAGTGGGTCGAGCCTTGGGCTAGGCCAAGCTATGAGAGGTCCATTTTTAAAAAAAAATTGAAAAAGATATTTAAATTTTTATTTCATATGATTTTTTAGGCCCACGACCTGAGCCCACACGGGTACGTGTCGTGCAGTGGGTCGAGCCTTGGGCTAGGCCAAGCTATGAGAGGTCCATTTTTAAAAAAAAATTGAAAAAGATATTTAAATTTTTATTTCATATGATTTTTTATGTATACAATTGTTTATATATACAATTAGACCAATTCATGGGCCAGGTAGCCCGATGGTCCAACCCGACTTAACCCATTATTTTTCAAGCTTTGACAAAATTTTAGGCCCGTGGGCTCGAGCTTGAGCTTTCTCAAATAAGGTCGGCTCGATACTTTACATATATAAAAAAGTAATTATGTTATATATAATAAATATAATATATATATATGCTTCTTAAATTATTAATAAATATCAATTTACTGTTAGGAAATATAAATTAATTTATTAAATTATTACTAAATTAATATAATATTAGTTTATAAAAGTATATTGAAAATAAGACATTTTGTGTACAAATCTAGCTCCGGGGTTGAGCTCGAGCTTCGGGCTTTGTATAAGGGTTGGGCTTGGCGGGCTCAAGATCTAGGCCCGATGGTCAATCTAAGTCTGGGCTCGGGCTTGCACATTTTCTGTTGATAAAGAGGCTCAAGTTAATTATAAAACTATGATTTTTTACAATGTAAAATTTTTATTTAATTATAGTCTAGTATAAAAATATATATAACATTTCTAGATATATATATATATATATATAATTTGTTATTTAAATATTATATAATAATATTTACCATATATGCATATAACTTCAAAGTTGAACTTATTAGGGGTTATTTAGCTTGGGCCCTATTTGCTAAAGCCATCATTGGACTCCAAAAGTTTGATACCTAATTAGACTTCGGATTTGATTATTCCTAATAATGTGCGGGCATGGTGCATATCTCAGCTAGACCACAATCAAAAGAAAATAGTTGCTTGAGCCTGCAAATTTATAGATCTAAAAGTTGCTTAAGTTATAAACGATTTGTTACTTTTTATTAAATAATAAAATATTGTTAGCTATTAAAACATTGTAAGTATTAAATTACTATATTTATTTAAAAAATAGTAATTTCTAGAAATTATCATATTTTCAAAAATATTGCTAATTTCTTGGCTAAAACTAATTAAATGTAATTTTCTAGTAATTAAATGTAATTTTCTACTATTTATAGCTTGAATTATAAATACTATTAATTACAATATAAAAATAATTATTCTTAATTATATTACAACTAATAATTAAAATGCATTGTTTTTTTCATTATTATTCAGTATTTTTTGCAATAAAATGTGATTAATTTAATTTTTAATTATTTTTAGTATTTTAATTAAGCTTTAGGTTTTTCAGAATTTTTGGATTTTTATTAATTTTTGGTGTTTTTCATTATTATTTAGTAATTTTTACATACGAGTATTTTTCAATAACTTTTGGTATTTTCAGCATTTATTTTTGCATATTAGTCACTACAAAATTAATTTGCATTTGCTTTTAGTAAAAATAAATTAAATAACTAAATAAATACCATAGTTAATAAAAAATACAGCTAATTTTCAATATTTTCAATAATTTATGGTTTGGGTATTTTTTTATAATTTTTGGTACTTTTTAATAATAAAATACTATTAATTGTACTTTTTAATTATTTTCAATAAATACCCTTATTAACATAAAATATTTAAAGTTATTGTTAATATTTAAAATTTTAATAATTGTATTTTTCATTTAATGTTGATTTACAGAAAATCATTATTGTTAATTTAATATGAACAAATATTTTTTAATAAATATAGTTCTATTAATAATTTGTAGTAATTTTAATAATTGTTATTCTTTTTAAATGAAATTTTGATTAACTTTAAATAAATAAAAATAATTACAAAAGCTAACATTTTTATTAATTTCACTAATAATTAACAATTATATAGGAATGACAACAGGGTGGGATGAGGGCAGGGCACCCCATCCCTATCCCTGCCCCATAGTTAGGACACTCTACTCCATCCCACCCCGTCCCTAGTGTCAAGCAGGTTCAAGGCAAGGCAACCACTCCCCAATGTCGGGCGAGTTTAGGGGCAAGGCACCCCACTCCTCATCAAGGATGGGGAATCCTTAAATTTCCCCGCCCCGTCCCTAGTATTGGGCAGGTTCAAGTAGAGGTGTAAATCGGGTTGTGTTGGACCGACACGACACGACCCGCATGTGGCCAGCACAAAGTGTGGACCATGCCTCCCTCTCCTGGGATAATTTGGGAGGTCGATTCGGCACAACCCACGGGTCAAGCATACATGGGCCTGTGTCGTGCCATGGGTCGTCGGGCTAGTCCATGGGACGAGCCTTGGGCTAGGCCAGGCAGTAGACCGGGTCAAGCTATGAGAGGTCCATTTTTTAAAAAAATGAAAAAGATGTTTATGTATTCAATTGTTTACATATACAATTAGGCCTATTCATGGGTCGGGTATCCCAACGGCTGGGCCTGGCCTGACTTGTTATTTTTTAGGCTTGGACAAAATTTCAAGCTCGTGGGCTCAAGCTCAAGCTTTCTCAA